TATTCTATTGTTTTAGCATTCCCGTTCTCATAAGCTTAATTTGTGTAGTATCACAGTTGTGATAAACAGTTTTGTAGAAAACATTCGACACACTTAGATTTCATTTATTTGTAAATAAAGTATTTCCTTGAGAAACCGGTGTGTGGTTTTGACTCAAGAAGGCTTTAGCAGTTGTTAAAGCAGTTGTAATACTCAGTTGAATATAGTGGATTAAGACCTCGTTGGAGAGAGGCGAAATCACCTTGACGGGTGGACTGGAGTAGTTTGAGATCAAACGAACCAGGATAAAAATAACCTGTTGTCTGCATTTGATTTCAAGTTTTACAATTCAACCCCCCTTCTTGTGTTTTTAACTTCTTCAAAAATTGCTAAAGATACTTAGCACAATTGCTATCATGGTCAATACAATGACCCGCGCCTGTCCCGTTTAACATCCAAATACAAGGTTGTTTACCAAATGTAATGGTAAAACAACACTGTCAAAAGGGTTAAAAATGTGTAGGAAAGATCTTTGAGTAAAATAGGGTAGACAACTCTTAGTTACTTGATCAAAACTTGCAAAAACATCCTTGTTATTTTCAAACACACCACACAACACAATTTCAAAACATTTCCCAAATCAAACTTTCAAACATTGAAGTATCTTTTCAAAAGACAAACACCTTTGTATATATTCAAACAAGAATCATTACAAAGGTTGCCTAGACAAGGCCTCTTTTTCAAAGCATTTTCAAAAACCACACACAAAGCACCATTTCAAACAATTGAAAAGCAAAAGCAAGTGATCTAAACAAGTAACTAAGAGCCCATGGAAAACCATGGATGAAAAGGGTGCTTGCACCTTCCCTTTTCATAATCTACCCCCCGAACCCAAGAAAACATCTCAAAGGTCTTTCCTGTGCTTTTTGACCTTTCCTTTGGATAAAATAAAAAGTCGGTGGCGACTCTTGCTAAAGCGAAACATTTGCAAACACAAACGCAAAACCTCAAGTCAGTTCTCCCACCGTATCACACGTTTACTTCCCCAGTGATATTGATCCTTGGAAGTTGATGTTTCAGATTTGTAATCTCCCAATGAAGTTTGGATTGATTATTCTCTACCGAAGATCAGATGTGTAAGGATAATTTCTCAAAGGTTCTTTGTCTTTCCGACAGTTGATTATTATTGTGTTTTCACCAGTGAAATAGTAAACATGCATCACTGGACATGCATTATTACATTGCATCTACCAAAATGTGTAACATTTCCATTGTATGGAACATTACGCTGTAAAAATTCAAACATGCATTGAAGTATAAGCCAATTATTCTATGCACATGATGTAACCAGATATTATGTACCTAAAGCTTAATAATCATCATGATTTCACTCCCCAGGATTTTTTCTCCAACTGACGTGTTCCCAGATATTCATTTCATATTAAGTTTCTTGTCTTGTGGGAGTCTTGTCCAGTTTCCTCAATGGAGTCTGTTTAGGTTTGCCATCAGTCGGGTCTTTGGTATTTCCCTTTTCCCTAGTGAATTTTGAATTTCCTGTGCCCATGCAAATCCTCTATTATTCAACCTGTGTTCGCTTTGCCGTTAGAATGCGAGTAAGAGTCGGTGTATAACCTTTCTTGTTTCTCAAGTATTTGAGTATCTATACTTGGTGTGTGGTAATTCATATAATTGCCACTTTTGAAGAATTACACCTCACCTTTTGCCTGAGGGATACTGTGGTTCTTGTGCATTTGCCACCTCTTAAAATTCCAACATGTTTTAGCAATCCTTATCTAGAGTCCTTTCAGTTGGTCTCTTAGCTGTTTGCAAGTTCGCCTTTGATCGACATTCTATTCAGGTTCAATATATATGTGAATTCCCAATAAGTTCGTTTCTGATCAGCGTTCTTTCCTCAAGAGTCTGTCTTTGGTTAGTCTCCTTGTCATTATAGGTTCACTTTTGTTAAAGTCTGCTTTGGTCGGTCTCTTTCTTATACGTGTCTAACTCTGACCAAACATGTATATCTTATCCCTAGTAAGTTCTCCTTTGATCGATGTTGTTTCTCCAGGAGTCTATTTTCAGTTATCATTCCTTGTTAGAGCCTTCTTCGGTCGGTCTCTTCCTTGTTTGTATATATCCAATTCTACCTGGCATATTCTCGATATCTTTCTTATATGTTCGCTACCAACTCTAAACATATGTTTTTGATATCTTTGTTAGAGGCCTTTCTTTCAGTCTCTTTCTTATATGTCATTTCCTCTGGACATGTATTTAGGATATCTTTATTAGAGTCCTTTCCTTCAGTCTCTTTCTTATGTCCGCTACCAACTTCGGACATATATATTCGATATCTTTGATGAAGTCCTTTCTTCCGGTCTCTTTCGTATATGTCCTTCCCTCGGACATGTATTTTTGATATCTTTGTTAGAGGTCTTTCTTCCAGTCTCTTTCTTATATGTCCGCTACCAACTCCGAACATATATTTGTGATATCTTTGAAAGAGTACTTTCTTCCGGTCTCTTTTTTGTTATGTGTCTGCAACCAACTCCGGACATGTAGTTTTTATATCTTCGATAGAGTCCTTTCTTTCAATCTCTTTCTTATATATGTCTGCTACCAACCCCAGACATGTATTGTTGATATCTTTGATAGATTCCTTTCCTTCAGTCTCTTTCTTGTTATGTGTCTGATACCGATCTAGAACATGTAAATTTAATATCTTCTATAGAGTCTTTTTCGTCGGTCTCTCTTGTTATATGTCTGCTATCGACTCCAGACATATATCTTTGATATCTTTGATAGAGCTTTCTTCGGTCAGTCTCTTTCTCGTATGTGTCTGCTACCGACTCCAGACATGTATTTTTGATTCTTTGTTAGAGTCCTCTTCTGGTCTCTTTCTTATGTGTTTGCTACCAATTCTGGACATATATTTCATGATATCTAATTTCTTGTATGTGTCCAATATTCTTACCAGACATGTATATCTAATTTCTCTTTTTTGTGTCTAATCTTGACCTGACATACGTCTCTAAGAGAACTCTATCCTCTGATAACCCTTATTCCCAAAAACAAAAAATAGAGAGTACATAAAACCAAAAGATAATAAATGATACCCGACTTTCTTCAGAGTGCAAATTTTATGGTTCTATTGAGTATTCAATCCTCTTTTACCTTGATTGTTCGAAAGGCTACTTCCAATCTCACCCTCGGGTTAAAGAAGATTGAATGGGGGAAGTTGTTGTACCTCAAAATTCACCCTCTTCATTTAAACCCTAATTGGCTGATACTTCATCATCGTATGCATACATACATGTCATAGGGTATATGCTCATGGAATAAAGGGTTTTTTCTTTGTGAAATGAAGTGTGAAAGATGATTGTTCCATTAAGCAGCATTGTGATAAAAACTCAGGATTTTTGGATTTTAAATGCACTCCATATATATTCCAAGCTATCTAATCAGGTATTAATCAAGTCATCATCATATCAAGATCTCATACGATCCAACACACTTTGAATTATGCAGAAAGTAAAATGTTTCAATCGATTTGAGACAGTGCAGACAGAAATTCAATATTTTGTGGTTCGAGTATAGAAATTCATAACTTGAGACTAGAAAATGGTTTGGGAATGATTCTCCAGTCATTAGAACTGTCTTGAGATCTTCTCCACTTCATCTGTTTAGATCGAAGGCTAATTTTATGAGGAAGATTTTCAAAAGCGCCAAATACCTGAAATCACATTATACAGTAGATCTGTTGGCTCGCTGGTTTTCCGAATGCTTAAAAATTCTTAACTTCTGACTGGAAAATCATCTTTAAGTTGCTCTTGGAGCATTTAAATAGTCTTGTTATTTCCTTAAATTTTCTTGTTCGGCTCGGAAGTCAATTTATCGAGGAGGATCTCTGAATGTGCGAATATTTTAAAGATATACTGTGAAATTACAGTGAAAATAGTATGCTGAGCCGCCGTTTATCGAATGTTCGAAAATTCACAAATTTAGCCCGATTTGACGTTTTTTAATGTTTCTTTAGGCATAAATGTCGTCTTGATTTTATATTCAACTTGTATGTACAGTTCAAAAGTTAATTCTTTGCAAAAGATCTTCGAAAGTGCGAATTACCTGAGAAAATCGCACCCCAAAATGGTTTTCTACCTGACTGTTTCTCGATATTGAAAAATTCATAACTTTCTCAATTTTTATCGGATCCAGACTATTCTCAAAGCGTGTGATCACAAATTTCATTAGCTACAACTTTGTTTCAGGTCCTGAGTTTGGATCATGCTCTGAAGGCTTCAGTTTATGGCTTGCTTCCTAAAGTGTGCATGAAAATAAGCTGAAATATTCAATGCAGCAAAATAAGTCCACTGTTTCTCGCCATTTGAAAAATCATAACTTGCTCGATTTTTATCGTATCAAGGAAATTCCTTCGGAATGACACCAAAAATTTCATAATGTATGATTTTGTTTCAGGGTGCGCGTCTAGATTCTGCACCGAAAGACATGAGTTTATGGTTTGTTCGCAAACGTACACAAAATAAGATGAAAAATCTACACTGAATTTTTAACACCAAGTTCTCGCCATTTATAGAATCGTAACTTGAACAATTTTTATTGTACTGGGACGACTCTTTCGGCACCGCGTCACAAATTTCATCGCTGATGATTTTATTTCAAGTTTTGCGTCAGGATTCTGTACCGAATGTCATGAGTTTGGGGGTTTGATCTCAACTTGTACATGGAATAAGCCAAAAGTTTAGCATTTGTCAAAATTACATAAGCCAAACAAGACTTAGAGCCAATTCTATATATTTTTAAATTTCAAATTCAACAAAAACATTCACTCATAATTCAAAAACCTCTCATAAAAAAGTCTCTATTCTCTCTCAAATCAAACTCAAATTCTCTCTCAATTCTCTCAACTTCTCAAGAACACAAAAGGGGAAAATTTAACAAAACTTTAAAACTCATCTCCTCATTCTTCAACAAAGCCGTGCACCACCTCTCTCCGGCCAAGAACCTCAGCCCGACGCCGCCTCCTCTGGCCTTCCCTTGATTGCGCTAAGTCCTTCCCGTCTATCGCTTAATTGTGGCATACTCCCTCTGATCGGAACTCCTTCACGCGTTGATCTCTTTCGTGCACATGTACTCCCTCCGTCAAGTCCTCTCCACCGAAACTCCACTTCTTCTCCGATTCCCTTGCTTGGATGAATTTTCGGTAAATTCCTTAACACTTCTTGAGTTAATTGCATGAATTGATTGATTTGAATTTAAGTGAGAATTTAATTGTTCATGAGTTGAACTTATGGAGTTAATTGATGTTGATGATGATGAATAAATGTGAAATTGGTTGAAATATTTTGTTCAATTATTTGAATCTTAAATTTCGACGCGGTGTTTTGTTAGTTAATTACGATATACGCGCCGAAATTGATTAATTATTGATTTGTTATGAATCTTGAATTGCAAAGGTGTTTTGATATCGATTTATGATAATTAATTGTGTTGATTACGGATTTGTATTGAGAATTAATTTTGATTTCATGTGTTAACGCAATTTTGAATTGATTTGATGATGAATTAATTTGTTCGACGTTGAAAACCTCAAATCCGATAAATTGCAACACTTGAACATTGATTGTTTTGGCTTGGAATTGACACTTTATTGTTGCATTAATTTTTTTCAATTCATTTGGATTTCTTAGCAACGATACTTGAACCGATAAGCGTTTTTTGCATCTGTTTGCGATTGTTGAAATTGATTTGATCGATATTGATTCAAGTATAAGTTGCTGCTCGAAAAATGCAAATGCATTACAAATTGCTTTTCAAAGGTTGTTTGATGCTTACTTGAGTATTTTTATGCATTTATGGACCGTTGATGTTGATTTTTACCGTTTCCGACACAATTTTTTGAGTGATATTGTGATACGGCGCAATGCTGCCCGGTTTTGGTAAGTTGAGCTTAAGGCATGATTTAATTGATGGTTAATGCTCAAGGGAGTTTGTTTTGTTACTTGGATGAAATTTTTGTTAAGTTTTAATGATTTCATATCGATATTTTGTGCGTTTCATGAAATAACGGCAATGCTGCCCAGTTTTTGATATTGGCGTTCCAATGCTTGTTTGGATTGCTTTTCTTCACAATTTAATTTTGATGTAGTTTGTGATGTGGATACTTGATTCCGATTATGCCTCCTTGTTATTACTAATGTGTTTTTTGACTTATGCAAGGCATTTCAATAGAGTTTTCAATCAATTAATTAAGTCTTGATTATTCGATTGAAAGGCATTTTACTCCACTTCTTTGTGGATTCGAGTTCGCTTCCGATGCGCTTGATTGTGATTCTCATTCTATGAGAAATATACTTTTCTTGTGTTTTTGTTTGGATGTGAATTTTTGGTGCAGGTGTACTGTTTGTTATGCGGGTGTGTCAGAGGCACATTTCACATGTGATTTATTTTTGATTTGTCGATACTATGGTACCTATTTTGGACACCTGATCTCTGACTGTTTTGTTTGTTGATGCTAGCTTGCATGAAGTTTTCTGGGTTTCTCTACTTTGCTTGCTTGCTACAAACTCTTGTTCGTTTGGATTATTACATTTCTAGTTTAATTTTTCGCATTTTCTTTTCTTTTCTTTTCCTTTCCATGAGAAGTAGGAAAAAAGATGCATGATTGGGAGTCCCTACTTTAGGTGGGAAAATCTGTTTAAAGTCCTCAAAAGAGGCGATGTTTGTTTTTCTCAAAGACCTCAAAATGAGTCAATGTTTGTGATTGCTTGTGTGCAAAAGAACTCGATGAAGGAAAATCCCATTCCCCTCTCACTTCCCTTTTACTTTAGGCTTTTTATCGAGTCAATAAATGGAACAAATGGCCCGCAATCGGCCCCCACACATTCTAGTCCTTCTCATTCTTAACTCGCGTCATATGTTGATGCTTTGAACCATGCCTATTCTTGTCCGTTGAGTCAAATAAGTGGAAGAAAGGGTTCGTAACCAACCCCCCACACTTTCTCATTCCTTTTGAAGATGTTGGCTCACGTTTCTTTAAACATTGACGCTTCGAGTTGTTACTCAATGTCAGTGCTCGATCAAATCAAGTTGAAAGAGTTCCTTACTCCCACTTTGAGATTCGTTGAACTCTTTATTTGTTTTTAGCTCGCACTCGATTTTGCTTTGGTTTTAGTTCGACTTTATTTGATTGCCCTTGTGCTTATGCTTTTCTTTACACCTTTATATGTGCCTTTAGGATTCACTTGTTTCTTTTCTGATGTAAGTTAGACATTAGGATCATAATTCATGCATGCTAACATAGGTAGTGTTTCCCTTTCAAACTCAACTATAGGATCAATTATTGTATGATAACATTAAGGATAGAGCTAGATATTTTTCCTTAGATCTTTTCTTTTCCCTTTGCATGTTTAAGACTAAAACTCTTTTTCTTTGGCAAATGCATAAAACACTCTAATATTTCTTAAATCCTTTTTCAAGGCAATAAACATCAACCAAGTCAAACTCTTTCGCCTTCGGACCTTTCTTTGAAGCTCTCAAAAGGATGTGTTAATTCTACTCTGCACAATATGACGTATGAATCCCCAAAGGTCGGATGACACTATGTCTACTTTCTAGAGCACGAATGTAGCATCGTCCGTCTTCAGACACTTTTCTTTTGAAAATACCTCTTCAGGTAAGAACATGTTAATTCCTTTCTATGCCAACGCGTGAATCTCCAAAGGACAAGCTGCGGTAGAAAGCGAAATTAATATTGTTCATAAAAAACATAAAACAAACATAAAATTTTGATCCAAACTATAGTGCTATGATTCCTTAAAGGGATACGTAGGCATTCGGTCGCGAGAAACTTTGTAAATCTTCCTTCTTTTCCTCGTGTTTTCCTTTGCATACATTCCTTCTTTGCATTTTTCCTTTGGCTCTTTAGCTTTAGATTAGAACACACTCTTTGATTAGAACAACAAGAGTAAATCCCATGGAGTACCACAAATGTGAGGGGTGCTAATACTTTCCCCTTGCGTAATCGACTCCCTTACCTGTATCTCTTTGTCGCAAGACCTTGATTTTACCCTTCTCAGGTTTACTCGATGTTTACCTTTTCCTTTCCGTTGGATAAAAAACGTTCGAAGGCGACTTCATTGAGTTTCTCTCGATGATTGTTCACCCTATTGTTTCAATGCGCGGCTTCCATCAAGAGTTCATACTAAAGCCATTAGAGATAGCCACCTCTATCCTCATTCTCTTAAAGTTGCCGATCTATTGATCCGCTTTCTGGTTTACTGCCTCATCACATTGTTGAGGAAATCTCAGCCATTCACCCGCCTAGACCAATCAATAGTGAGGACATTTGTTTGTAGAGAGACTAAAAAAATGGTGATTTTTCTATTGGAAGTGTGTATTAGCTGCCGAATTCTATTGATATTGACCATGAGCAGAGTAGAATTTGGAAGAGTATTTGGTCCTTGAACTGTCATGAAAGACTTAGAGCTTTCATTTGGTTAGTCAAGCATGATATCCTTATCACAAATCTCTGACTTAGCAAGATGCATATCAGAGACTCCTCTATCCCGGAGTGAAAAAATGATATTGAAAGTGTTACCCATGTTTTACGTAACTGTATTGTTGCGAAAACAATTTAGCTCTCTTTTGTTAGACAAGCATTCTAGAACTTTTTCTTTGATGCAGGTTTATAGGATTAGATAAAGATAAGTTTGCAGAACAATCTTGGCTATGGAGAGATCGAGGAATGGAAGGCGTTGTGGGAAACGACTTACCACTCTCTATGGTTTTGGCGTAACAAAAAGATCCATGATGATACCTTTGTTATGCTTATTGCTCTGGCTGATGATATGTGAAACAGGTCCTGATTTTACATCACAAGCTTAAAGCCTAAAGATTATGTATTTTTCTTAACTTTTTTTCTTCCAATTTCAGTTTAAATATTTATTTATACCTATATAACCTCTATTTATTTACCCTTATTTTCAATTTAAATTATTTATACCTATTTATTTGTATTATATTTATTTATACCTATTTTTTAAAATATTTACCCTTATGTTACGTATGAATGTTTTATGTCCTAAAGTAACTAGCAAGTACACATGCATGGATGTTTTGTCAGTGTTGTGAATTCGATGGAGTTTAAAAATAATAAAATTTTGATAAGTGAGAAAAAGAATAATGACAATCAAAATTTAATTAATTTTAAACAAAATTAAACCTATCAACTAGTGCAACAAAATAAAAATATCAAGAATAAAATAAAAAATAACAATATATAGAAATTGTTTATTCAATCCAATCCAAAACATTCTAATTTGTTGGAGACAAAAATTCTCCGATCCACTACTAATCAAGAAACTAATTCCACAAGTTCATAAAAATACTTTCTAATTTCTATCTAGTTATGACCCAATCTCTACTTCTCTCACTACATGAATCACACCATTCCAAGGTTTTTAGAAGTTGCTTCCAACTATTAAATAATCTTCCAATACTTGAAAAATATTTGAAAAATTAATCCTAATAAGCTCTCTCTTTGTCTCTCTAAGCTTATCTTTCTAAAAATCACTTCATTCTAAAAAAGGCTGAAAAATATTAAATGACACATGTTTAGAGATGAAACACACTGCACCTTCGTCCAAACTATGTGTTTGAGGAAGATTCTAAAAAAAAATTTAAAACAACACCTCGAAATGTCTCACATTTGTTGTAAAATTGAATGGGACGAAATTTTGATTTTGTTTAGTCTCGCTCCATAAATCTTCATCTTGACTTAATAACGAGGAGCTGCCAATTTACTCATTGATCAAATTGCTATTCCCTCTAAATTTATATCACTTTTCATTAAACTTGATCAAGTTCAAGCAATACTTGAACCTTGACCTAAGAAATGACTTGGTGAACACATCACTCAAATTATCTTTCGAAGCCATATTCTCAATCACAATCTCCTTTGACTCGATCATATTCCTTATAAAATGAAAATGAATGTCGACGTGCTTCACTCTCTGGTGATAAACTTGATGATTATTCAAGTAAATAAAATTTTACTATCATAATGCATCTTCACACATTCTTGAGCGGTCATTAACTCCTCAATCACATACCATGACCACATGTCTTCCTTGACACATTCAACTAGGAAAATATACTTCATTTTAGTTATATATCAAATAACTACTTGTTACGCTGGGATTTTCACTTGAGGGAAAAGTCAACGAAGGATGTCACA